TGATAAGCGTTGCCGAGATTGCAATAACTTCCTCCCTCTCCGGCCTTGTCTCCTACTTTTTTAGCAATTTGTAAACGACGGTGATGGTACTGGATGGCTGTTTTGCACAGTCCTAGACCTTGATAAGCGTAACCGAGATTGCCATAACTTCTTCCCTCTCCGGCCTCGTCTCCCACTTCTTTAGCAATTGCTAGTTGACGGTGATGGTACTTGATAGCTGTTTTAAACTTTCCTAGTCCTTGATAAGCGTTGCCGAGATTGGAAGAACTGTTTGCTATGACTATTAGTTCAGCATTAGTTCTCCTTAATAATTGAAGCAGACGTTTGTTGTCATTTTCAATCTTAAAACGTGTCAAGGGTCGATAAGTTACGAGCAAATTTGCAAAAATGCAGTGGAAATGTGTATTTTAAAAAACAGTGAGAGTATTAGATGGAACCTTAAAACTGGAATGAGAATTCGAACGTGGGTTTTTTTAAGAGATTTGATTTCAAGTTATTGGAGAGTTTTAACTACCTCTGAAGCGCATTTATTGGTTTAGGTTCGGTCGTCATGGTGATGCTCGTCTAAAGAAAAAATGAGGGGTATTCACCTCAAACTCTGGGAATTAATTAATATGGCCTCTTCTTTTGAGTAAAGTTTCGTGGAATAGTCGAAAGAACTCTTTATGAATATTTTAGCTTCTTTAAACTTGGCAGTGCAGTATAAGAGAATCGAACGTTACTCGCATTATGTGTTGAAGAATCTCTCCGGAACGTATTGATTTCCTTTGAAATATTATTCGCATTGCATCTCGTATCACGTCTGAAACATTCTTTAAAGGATACGGCCAATCCCATATGCAACCAGCTCCTTGCTTCTTTATACAAGCAAAGTTCGACACAAGCTCTGGCTCCTGAAAAGGAGAGAATAATTGGTGGTACGAAGTAACTCATCACTGTTAAAGTATAAACATATTGATAAAATGGACTTAATTTCCCATTTAGCTGGGAACAAAAATTGTGATAATGAAGGAAATTTAAACTTGTGGAAGAACTGAAAATAAACAATAAGGAGCTAATGGAAAGCGGCAACCAATTAAGCTTCAATTGATGATGATAACGATAAATTTATCCCGCGAATTCTTCATTTTAATGTGCTATTATGCGCTTTTCAGCACTTTTCAGGGAAGTTTTCGGGCAGACTGCATTGAGCAGTTTACAACTTTTGAAAGGGAATTTTTCAGGTGCCTCCTTGAGTTATAGAGAAGATGCAAGAAACGAGGCTTACGGTTTTCCGTTCATATCTGGGACTTGAATATCAAACCATTTGCAGATGTCACAGCTTAGGCAGCAGCACATTGTCCTCAGATATTTTAAGACTCAGGGAGAAGGTCCAGTCTAGGGCTTGAACCCTCGACCTCCGGCGCTTTACAACGTGAACTAAACAGGCGGTTTAAACTAAACTTGGGGTGCAGTTACTTGCCACAAACCACACAATCCTATTTTGACGAAATCAGAGAATAGAATGTTGATGGCTTATGTCTGGAAAACCCATCTTTCTTAATAGCTTTGATTAAAGTGGGTTCCAATTGAACGGCAACTGTTGCATCATCGAGACATTCCACGTAGTTTGCTATGAGATTTAGGAAATAAGGCTAAAAAAAGTGGTCATCATATGGAATTGCAACGAAGAAGCCTTAAAAAATTACAATGGCTTAAAATGTAACGAGGATCATTCCCTTGCTTAACTTTCATCCACTACAAGGCGATTTATGCTTTTGCGCTACTTTTCTGCATTTGCTCAATTTTTTCTTTTCTTGATGCAGATTGTGTATTCCGTTATCTTGTAACGCTGCACGACAGATTTATATGTTTACATATGAAATTGTTACCCAAACGGAAATGAGCTGTTGCCCTGTTGCTGTAAAGCTTGGCGTTCAGCCGTTTATCTTTGCAGTTCACTTGAAGTCCTTCCTTGTAGGAGTTTATCGCGTCATTAGCTTCTCCTTGTCTGTACTCTTTGTTACCTTTCTCCAGACATACTCTCGCTACTCCTGAAACACAACGTTTTAGTGTTAATGATTTAGTTATGAGTGATACGACCGTTGACGGATGATGCCAACTTTATATATCCACGAAACGAACTTTTAGGTTAAAGGAGCTTAGAGCTATGAGAAAAAACAACCAGAAAAGTTTAATATCTGTACATTTTGTTTGTGTGCAAGCTGCTGGGAGTCTGGGCTGTAGCTTGGCTATTACCACGAGTTTGTCAATTTACATTTAGGTCGAGACTTTCCAATGACCCTTTTACACCTGGGTTACGTTTTCCAAAATTCCATGTTAGAATATAAAACCCCATAAGTTACTGCATAAAGCAAAGCAAAGCCAGGACTGAAAAAGGTTAAAACTTGTGAATGTTCTGATAACGAAAAAGAAGAACATTGTACTGAGAGTCTGAGAGTGACAAGAGTTCGTGGTTTTACCATCGTTTAGAAAAGTGCGCTGGAAAAAAAGTTTTTTTTTTGTCTTTTTCTCTTTATCACTTGGTATTTCTCATGCATATAATTGTCTATTGAGAACATACTCGAAGAAGCTAACTGGAGAAATTTGATTGGGAAAGTATCACTTTCCTGCGAAGTGCCATTTTGCCTGTTGTGAAAGTCAGCGGTTCCACATTTTGTTGGCTGGTAGTTTACAGCGTGG